GAACTGGATTATTGGAAATGAGAAAAAAAATAAAAACATGGGAATTCGACTAAGATTCAGATAAGGAAATTTGCCTCGAAACTTAGGTTAAAATTATAAATTTATAAATAAATTATATTATATTAAACTTATTTAATCTCCTCACCTCAATTCCACTCGCTCCCGCTCTCCTCCCCTACCCTCTCCTCTCCTACCCTCTCCATCCCTTCTCCTCCCTCGCGTCTCCACTTCCTCTTTTTGTTCAAGACCTGACCTAAGTGGTCTGGAAAAATAAAATAAATTGTGACTGAATATCCGCGTTTTTCTTAAGTTAGAGACAGTCTTCATGCGTTGATTTTATCTTTTCTACGCATTCTTCTTCAACTTTATTCTGAGTTTCCTTGTCCATTCTATAACGTTACATACATCTTTCCTTTTTTTTATGATTATTTTTATTTGATTTAATCCCAACATATAGTACTGTCTTTCTTTCCTCAGGTAGAGAATATTGTAATTCCTTGGAAATCTATCTTACTATCACCACCTGTTTGGGGAATAATTGCGGCCAATTTTGCATTGGATTGGGCGTTTTATATTTTGCTTATATCGATGCCAACTTTTCTACTAGATGTCATGAAAACATCTATCACCAGTGTGAGTTTATAGCACCATGTTAAGAATAGGCCAATTCTAACAGCAGAGCTTTTGTTAGCACATTTACGTACCTGCATTCATTATAAGACCCGCCCAGGCCAGAGTCCGGCTCGGTGAGATGCGAGATGGAAAAAACGCAAGGAGAAAGGAAAAAAAGACGAGGCCAGTATTATCTATATGCTCAGTCTACACAGTATGACCCCTAGCAAACTATTTTCTTATTCGGCACTCATACTCTATCGTGAAATAAATAATGGTCCTTGCTAAACTTCTAAACTGGGCTGCTTTCAACTAAATTTAACATTCAGTGTTATTTTTCTTTTCTTATCTTTATTTTCAGATGGGATTCATGGCTGCTTCACCTTTTCTCGTCGAAGGTGTTTGTTCTCCATTGTCTGGCTTAGCAGCAGATGTGCTGAGGAAAAGTACGGTATCTACAAAGAACGTCAGAAGAGTTTTTTACGCTGCTGGTACGAAAAAAAAAACCGACTCACCAGTCCATATTTTCTATACCTCTAAGTTGGCTAAAGGTTTCTTAGTGACTTGTCTGTGGTAATTGTCAACGATTTTCAGTGAAATGACTGAACTAACTCAACTCGTTTTAACTTCAAGATCCGAAAACGTATGTACTCAATTTTCGTGGTAGATATCCTTATCATAGGGTTGGCTCCAAGTACTAGAAAGATGAAGCGAATCCTATATTTTAATTGGCCTCTCGGTCGGGATCGCCCTCTTTCATCTTGCTGGTTTCATTCTACAAGTTATTAGGCAATTTTTCTATATAACAAGAAAAACGAAAAAACGTGTTCTGGCTGTTTTAGCTAACACAGGGTTACAAACCCCTTTTTCTTCAGAGTGAAAAAAAGGGGATCAGCGATTTGGTGGATTTTTCTCTAATACCTGTTACTCGCTTAAGATGACTGGATATAGGTTTCATCCTCGTATCGGTCAATAAAAGCGCAACTTCCAGTCTCCATTACCTCGAGCTTTTTGTGAATTTTGTCTACACCTTAACCGATAATCTATTTCACCTTTCTTCTTGATAATAATGTCTTCCTTTTTCTTCTCCAGGCGCCATAGCGAATGGGTTTTTAGTACTCATAGCTGGTTACTCTTTAAATGTCACGGTGGTTGTTATTTGCATGAGTCTGGCTGGATTGACTACGTCACTGGCATTCCCGGCATACACTGTGAACATGCTAGACATTGCTCCGCGTTACTCGAGTATCATCATGGGCGTTTGTAACACTGTTGGAACTACAGCTGGGTTTGTCAGTCCAACCATAGTGGGATTCATTGCCCAAGATAAGGTTGGTATGGAGTGCATTTCGATTGATTGCAGTTAAACCAAAGCCAAGTAATTACAACAGCCAATCACAGCAAAAAGAAAATGTCACAAAGAGCCAATCAGAATTCAGAGTAAAAGCACAAAGCAAATTCATTTTACCTAAGAGCAATCAGTAATGCGATTTATAAACATGTAGATACCATGTTTAATCTGAGGCGAGCAGGGAAACTCAAAAATCGAAATCTTCAGGTGAAAGATTATTTTTCCTTTTTGATGACATTCAGGAACATAGTAACTCTTAAAGCATTGTAAAGTAAGGCAGAAGAGACTTACACTATGCAGTACTTTTCAAGATACGAGCCCTGAGTAGCCCAGCGTTCATGCACTCGACCCGGGCCTCCCGCATAGTCCGCCATATTTGCATTCGGTCTATATCAAATCATAAAAGCTCCTAATGTAAATGCTGTACTCTAAGCTTCCAAAAAAAAATGTTTGACCACATAGCAAAATGCATAACTTCCTTTCCTTCTTTCATAGACTGCTGAAGAGTGGCAAAGGGTCTTTTTGTTAACATTTGTAATTTTACTTGGAGGGACTTTCCTATTTTGCCTTTTGATGTCCGGAGAACGACAGGATTGGGACCAAACTATGAATAAACCAACAGACGAAAACATTGAATCTGAAAGTGCTACTGGTAGCTAGAACAATCCTAGACATAGGTTCTTTGCGTACCTTCGTATACAATATACATATATAATATATATATATATAATCATTATTCATCCGCTGGCGGGGAAACGGGGTGAGGGAGGTGAGGGGGTTGGAGGATTTGGTTGTTTCACAATACCGTATAACTGATCTTGCCACAGGACTCTGTAATCATCTTACGATCCCCCCTCCCCCTCATTGTGGTAAATTGACCGTCAATGTCCTATACTAGGTAATTTAGTGTTAACAACTGAGTTGAAAACGTAAATTAGCCACCGTAAAGGGTAAAAAAGCTGACGTTTCGAGCGTTAGCCCTTCGTCAATCGCTCTGACGAAGGGCTAACGATCAAAATGCTCAAAACGCTCAACTCAAATTACCCACTATACTCTCCCACCGACGCAGCATCACGGCTTCTTTAGAAACTTACCCCTTTATTTAATGTCTTATAGTACTTCGTTTATACTTTGCTGGCGACGAATGATTCCGCCTCCGTTTCCTATGAAAACCGTGCGATTCTCCACCCCAAAACCTCTGCCTCTTACCCTAACCCATCCCAGGTGATAAATAACGAGTGGTTC